AACAAAAGGATGTCATCCCCTATCGAAAAGATTACAACCTCTAAAAGTGCCAGTCTATACTAGGGTAAAACTACAATCCCTATTTGTCTAGTGGAATCAGATTCACCCCTACTCGTAGAGTTTCCACTACTTGGATCCCTCTTATAATCATCAGCATTAATCACTCTTTCTGGCACTCGACTGATTTGCAGTGGATTTAGCAGGTTGTTGAGAATTTCCTTCTCCCTTAGAAGCTCTAGGGCAATTCGAAAACTTATACTCGGTACTACCGCACCTCAGACATTTTCCTTGCTTTCTCCAACACTCGGCCTCAGTGTGGTCAATCTTGCCACAGTATCCGCAAGTTACGCGAGGAGTCACGATTTGACCAGTTTGAAATTTCCTCTTTTGTTGACCTCGCCTACTCTGATTTTCTTTTGGTGGGGTTTCGCTTGATGGAGTTTCTCCGGATTTTTCAGGCATCTTCACTCCTCTAGCCTTTTTTCCTATTTTCGTCAGGGGGTAAATTGGTGTTACTACGCCATATGTTTACCTCAATGCCTATGTACTTGCTGCAAGTGCTAGATCCACCTCGGGCAGTTTTGCTCAATTTGGGAAGGATATGTAATGCCTTTTTATGGGATAAAAATGCAGCTTCAAAGGGTATATATTCACTGGATGTCTTGGGAGAAAATCTGCTACCCAGTAGTTGAAGGTGGACTAGGTTTTCGCTCCTTCGAAGACATGTACTTAGCCTTTACTTGCAAGATTTGGTGGCGGTTGCAGAAAAACGAGTTGTTATGGGCAGATTTTATGCATGCCAAATATGTTAGGGGTAGCCACCCGCTTCAAGTTCGGGTAACCAAGCTTTCCCCTTCGTGGAGACGCTTGGAGGGCATTAGAAATGTAGCGGAGGGCAACATTAGATGGTGTGTAGGCAAAGGTTTTGTAGATTTTTGGTATGATCGCTGGCTTTTTTATTCTTCTTTGGTTGACTTGATCTCTATTAATGACTCACCACACATGTTGCTAGCTGAGTTCTTTGGTGACAGGGGTTGGAATGTAGAGAAGCTGAGGCATTGGGTGCCTGCTCATCTGGTTAGTTAGATTTAGGAAGTTCAATTATCTCCAAACCGATATGATTTTATGATTTGGGTAGGCTCGTCCTCTGGGGATTTCTTAGTCAAGTCTGCTTGGGAGCTTATTTGACAAAAATGTAATAACTCACTAGTGGACGGTTTCCTCTGGAACAACTTAGTGCTGTTGAAACTGTCTTTCTTTGCATGGAAAGTGGTGCATAATTTGGTTCCCTTGGACGTGAATTTGAAGCGACGTGGAATTTCTTTGGTATCCAGATGCTTCTATTGTCTTTTGCAAGAAGAATTATTAGTTCACTTTTTTGTAGGCCTGTCAATCGGGCTTTCATAAGTTTGAAATCACCTCGTTTAATTTGTAACATCTTCAGGTTTTGGGTTATGAGTTTCGGGTTAATAAATATGAAATTCATACTTAACTCATATAATATTTGGGTTGTGAGCCTTATTCGGACTTAGCTCAAACTCACTTATCGCTCTTTAATTTTTTTAATATAATTACTATAATTATTAAGTTGAAAAACTAATTTAACATTTACAAGACTACAATATTAAAACAAAACATGAACAAATAATATTTCTTTAAAGGTATATAAACAAAAATTTTTCAATAATATTTATATTTAATTCTTTCAAAATACATGAAAAATAATAATAAAAGTTGAAACTTTTTTATAGCCTTGTGATTTGAATCCAAACATACTTGATGATTTGTGTTTCTAGACTAAAAAGAAATCAACCAATATTATGCTAATACAAAAATTTACTCAACCAATAAGAAAAATTAGAGATTCAGTTGTGCATTAATAATATTGACTCTCAAAAAAGCTCATATAAGAGTTTTCAGATGTATTTTTGTATTTTGTAATTTATATATATTTAGTATTTAGTAATAATATATTTGAATATATAATTATACATAATATCAAAATATAAATATTATATATATATAGGTAATTAAAAGGCCGGGCATATAACGGGTTTGAGTCTAATGAGGCCCAAGCTCGGCTCATATTTAATTTGGACATAATTTTTAGGTTCAAACTCAAACCAACTCACTAAAAGGTCGAGCTCATCGGGTTTCGACCTTTTAGTGGGGGCAAACGAGCCGAACTCGAGCTGGCCTTGCCCCATTGATAGTCCTACCTTTTTGTGATAGGTCTGATAGCAATAGAGGTATGGAGCTCTTTTCGAAAGAGATTTGGAATTATTGATTCTCATTCCTTTTCGGTGTCTACGATGGTTTTGCCATGGTTTAGCTCGACTTCTCTGATAACACGGGACCACATAAGGACTGTTGTTCTAGTAGCAGCATTGTGGTTCTTATGAAAGTCTAGGAACAAAGCGCGTTTCGATGGTGCTCATTTTGGGGCTCATAGGGTTATTTCTTTGGTTGATGAATTTGTGGAGTAGGTGGAATTGGTAAAAAAATTCTCTCGTGCCACTTTAGGGGGGACTCGGCAAATCCATGGGCTTAGCTAGGCACCCAATTGGCGAGGGGAAAGAAGACTTACGCCGTATCTTAGAAGCGGCCACCGTTGCAACATGTCAAGTTGAACACGGATACTAGTGTTTCCCAAAATTAGGCTTATAGGGGTGGTTTACTCCGAGACTTTGAAGGCCGTGTAATTTTCGCCTATCACAAGGAAATTGGAGAGATGGATGTCTTAAGAGCAGAAAGCTCATCATTGTTGTATTGTCTTCAGCTATGTAAGGATGTAGTCAGGGGTTCCCTGCTGGTGGAAGTAGATTCTGAGAGCTTAGTTCTGCTACTTAATACGGCGGTGATGTCCCAGTGGCCTTTATGTAATACGCTAAGGAGCAACGCTGCTTTCCTTACTTCCAGCAACTTTATCACATGTTGTTAGAGAGGCAAACTCTTTAGCGGATAAATTAGCAGGTTTGCGATTGCTGTTAGAGTTATATTGTACTTCGCTTCATCAACTCTCGTGTTTAGTGAGAGCTTCGGTATATTTAGACAGCAGAGAGCTTCGGTATATTTAGACAATAGAGAATTCACTTCCCTGTGATGACAATTTGTAAGGGAATAGCTCTCCTATTTGTTGTTTAGTTATGGAGGATGTCCTTAGCTCTTTGTATTTTTTCAGTTATATCAATAAAACAGGGGCTGGCACCCTCACCCTATGTAGGTGTTCTTAAAAAAAAAAGTCATCACATATTGAATAGCTTTTGAACCTATATAACTTAATAATGGTACATATGTGATTGTATACTAACTAGTATAATCTTTAGCATAATCCCATCTTATGATCAATCTTGATATTTGCCATCTTGTTTGATCATTTGGCAGTTTGTAGATTTTCTTGAATCAAAGCTTTTTTCCTAATTCGAGTTCTTTTCACTTTTGTATATGTTTTCGTGCAAACTTCTTATTGTTTAGAAAAAAAAACTGAAATTGTTTGTGATACATCAATTTGTTCATATTATCTATCTCTTACGAGAGCCACTAAACAAACTCTATCCTTCAAGGCATATGCATTGTTGATGGCAATCATGTTGTCTTTTGAAAGTAAAGTATCATAGAATATTCTCATTTAACTAATTATTTATTATTTTTCTGGAGGTTTATGTGTAAACAAGTTAAGACAAATTTTATAAAAAGAATGAAATGATTACAAATCATTTTAAAATAGCTGCTGAAAAGAAAAAAAAGAATTGAATGAATAGTTTGTTAATAAATAAAAGGGTGATTCATAAAATCTATTTTGATTACTTTCTTTTTGTTAATGTTTTGTCTACAATATTATAGGTAAAAATAAGACAAATTTTAGTATGATCAAATAGGTGCGTGGACTTTATTAACATGCACAGGCACTTTAATAGCGTGTGTTATATGCATGTGTGTGTGTGTAAGATTGTCAATGTATGTAAAATTAATGCATACAAAAATGATGATAATGAAAAATATGAATAATCATCAATTTTACTAATTATCAAACTATTCGTTTGTCCTAATGAATAAATTGTAATATAATATTCCTTCCGCGATCAATCCACTTACCACTTTTACTTAATTTGCGTGAACAGTACAAATTCTAAAAGCAAATAGTAGCCCTTTATTCCTTCTCTAAAACCCACCACAGACACCCAATTCTCACTGCCTCTCACTGCATGTGTGCGTGTTTTTTTCACTAATTTTCTTGGTATAATTAGTACTATTTTTGTTTTCACTTCAAGTTTTGGTTAAGATGAATTAAATTTACCAACAACTGGAGTCCTTGGTTGGGTTGTGCTTTGTTGATGAGACTTGCCAGAGCCACCTCTGGGTTGAGCTGGCAATGCAAGTACCACCAAAGCTCCATTACTCGATAAATCTGTGTTCATGTTGTCTTCCATTTTAAGCTTTTACAAAATAGAATTTAAGGGACCGAATTTTACTTTTCCAACCGGGGGGGGGGGGGGGGGGGGGGGGGAGGACGGCTAATAAATAAGCAAAGAAAAGTAGTCGGAGAACTTGAGCAGGGTGGAAAAGTTTTGGGGGTATTTTTTAGGCCAAGGAGATTGGCGTCAGAGAGGTCTAGTGTGAGGTTACACTGAAATATCTTAAAAGCATAAATTCATTAGCCTGCACTCCAAAACATTTAGCATATTACATGTGCCTACTAGGTTATTGTCGGATAACATATTTAAGATTGGATTCAAATAACTATCCTATCTGAGAAATGGAAACTAAAAACTCTATATTTCATCCCACATGTAGAAAAATTGGCATCTGCTAATTTGACCATAGTCTCCGAACATATGGTGCATGATATCAAGGTTATGATAATAAAAATACTCACTTATTTCAAATATTGAAGGTAATGGAAAATTGGTCCTTAATGAATTATAGATTAGATAACTAGTATAATACAATATGGACTTATTACACAAGTTTTCCAAATCCTGTCAATAGAGGTTTGTAGCTTCATTTAAATGCAACAATGTGGGTTATGAATAGATAGCAACAAATTTAGTAACAGATAATCATCAAAAGGGATGAAGACTAAGCAGCCATGCTGAGAAACAAATAAATGTTGGGGATTGAACTGGTCGACACCTACTCAGCAAGAGAAGCCGTCAAAGATTACGACAATCCAAGAATATAAAATAAATGTATGAATATATAGCATAGTCTTGTCTATCTTGTGATGGGTGATAGACATTCACTCAACTATTCCATCTACATAAGTTTATTCTCATTTTGCTCCCTCCAAACTTTTGTATGAATTCATTTAGCATAGGAGCTAATCTTTTGCTTTTCCTATGAAACGGACACTCCTGTTCAACAAAGAAAGCATGTCTTAGAAACCATCCTCAAATTTTTAAAAGCAAAATTGCTAGCTTGTCAAAAGGCATTTTTAGTTTGAAAAGCAACTATGTTAAAGACTTGCTAAATAGTGGCAAAAAGCAAAGATAGTATCATAATATGGTAACTAAAGGACAAAAGTTAAAGAAAGCGTACGTGCAACTGAAGTGATTAATCGCCACCATTCACTTCCCTGTCCAAATATATTCGGCTCCCGAATTAAAATTTTCGACAATATCTCCTCAACATGGGCAAAAATAAGGTTGTTGATTGTGGTGGATGGGCCGAATGGAGGCCCCATGTCGACCCAAATGCCATTACTTCTGACTGATCAACATAAAATTTGAACGGGGGTTGAACCGAGAGTCTATCAGGAATCCATCTTGTTTATGGGTTGAAATTCATTACATCATCACATTTCAGCGGATAATTTAAGAACTAAAATTTACTATATATTAACTATGATATGCAAGTTTGTATCTTATTGCCCTAGAAAAATTTACGTACTAGGACCAATTTTTCTAAATTTTATCTAAGAATGATATATTATATAGATAAAATAGAATGTATACAACAAGCCAGAAGAAGTCGGGCTCACAGGAGTTCTATTCTTCATCCAATAACACATAGCATGAATTTACTAAGTCGAAATTGTGGCGACCCCACTTCCCCCTAAGGCGAACCAAAGGGTTGGCGGGCCGTCTGCCCAGCTCTCGCCAGGACTCACGCAAGCATTCTAACCCAAAACCTTCCGACGATTAACCTAAGCTATTACAAAAATGATTCTTCCGAAACAAATCGATTTCTATCACCACATTAACTTCAAAGATAACAACATATAACTTAGCCAATCGACGGCTCTTAAACACTTCGCGCGTCGCTCGCAAGGGTTAAGGACATACTATACCAATACAAACATACATACCGAATACTAGAATTAGGGATTACACTTTTCCAGCTTCAAGTGGCAATCCAAAATGAAAGGTACAATGCTTAGCTTAGAAGTCATTACAAACCGAAAATTAAATTCAAGTTGTTCAAGTACAACCATAGGAAATATAAGCTGTTCAAATACTTTCAAACCTTCCATCCTGTAAGGAAAACAAATAAACATGGGGTGAGCTAAAGCTCAGTGGTGCCCCAAAACATGCAGTCACGTAAATCAAACAGCGAGAAATAACTTAAACAAATTGAACAGTTAGGAAAGCGTATAACAGCACAAGGTAGGATACAGGGGCTCTCAGGAGCCATTCTCCTCGCTTGACCACCATTCATCGTAGTTGACCCTCCGTCAACTCTCACTACTTATAGTCCATGTAGATCCACTCATTTTAATCCTAACCCGTCACCATTCATACCCCGGTCCCGGGCCCGCTCACCGACAAAGGACGCAGAATACTCGAGATATACCCGTAGATGTTTGGTCGAGGGATTCACCCAACGACATTATGGTAGTTAGATTCATGCGTCGAGGGATTCACCCAACGACGTAACTACTTTTAGATTCAGGGTAGTTGGATACAGAAGTCGAGGGATTCACCCAACGACGCAACTACATTTAGAATCAAGGATTCAGGAGAAAAATGTTTTTGCACAAGTCACCACTCGAACGGCTAGTGCGATAAAGTACACACAGCTCACTTCGATGGATCAAAAATCAGTTTTGCAAATTATCACATATCGAGTCAAGGAAGTACTTTAAACAGGTAAGCATAGAACAGACAGGGACACTCACCAAGAGTGAAGTTCAGGTATCAAGTTGGGAATCGAATTCCGCGTCCTCGCAATATCCTAGAATACCAAATTTTGAAACTATAAGTTTCTATTCAGTTTTCAAGCTTATACACATCGAGGTTTATCTAATATATTACTAGTTTACTTTCCTATAGTAAATTCAAGAATCTACTTAGGTTGAAGCTTGACAAAAGTAGCAGAAATGTTTCTTATAGTTTTCCTTGAGATATTTTTCCTTAGAAAAGGGTAACTAGTATTATTTTCTTGAAACAATTCAACCATCCACTAAGGATTGAAATTTAGTAAAAGTAGGAAATGTTTTATATGGCTTTCCTTAAAAATATTTTTCTCTATACGAGTGCGGCTAGTACTATTTTATTTAGAATAAGTTTTCTTGCCGAGCAAGTTTCTATGTTTTTAACTAAAATTATTAAAACTCGTATTTTGGAACTTTTCCTATAGTTAACTAGCCAGGAGCAATACTTAATGAAAGAAAAGGAATTAATATAAAACTTAGGATTTTCAAAAGCTATAGAATTTAATTACTATAGCTATCAAGGCTAGTTTGAGCTAAAGGAAATTATTGGTTTGGAAAGTTTTAGGCGAAACACTAGATATTGAGTTTTATAATCTAATACTAGCTGGAAAATATTTTTGATTAATTTGATCACAGTTACTCGAGTTCGCAAGGTCGATACAATTTCCACAGCTCCGATCCCGTTTCGAAATCATAGTATGGATCAAAATATGGCAAAAATCACATAGCAAATTACTAGGGTTTCGTCAATCATTAGCCCTAGATTTCAACAAATGCATTTCTGATAAAAATAAAATGAATGACCAAGGCTTCATCAATCATTAGCACTTGGTTTCGGCAAGCTTATATCACATCTTAACTAAATAAAAAATGAAGGTAAGGCCTTCAAGAAATTCCAGCAATCAAAGTTCATCACTCTTTAATATTTATAAAACCATTCAAATGGCCAAGGGCTTCATCAATCATTAGCCCTTGACAACATCAATCACTTCCAACCACAATTCAATCAAGAATTCAAACCACAAATAAGCTAAATGTTCGATCCAAGTCAAAAATTCAGTTTCATAAAGAAACAGGACATTCAAGCAGGACAGTCTACTTTGAGGAGTCACGGACAGCAGTACATATGGAGGAAAAATATGAAATTTCTACAAAACAAAGGCCCATGAATCTAGTTTCAAATGCCACTGACGGCGCCTTAAACGGATTTTCCTACACCAAGATACATGCATTTTACTGAGACTGGTCAGGGACATCCGAAAATCTGAAATTTCATTTTCCACTTGTGAAAAACTCCTTTTTCTCTTTTAACACCAAAATGTTTTTATTCAACCATCCATACATTTCTTATAAAACTCCAAAACAACATATTCCAGGCATTTCCATCCATCATGATTCAAAGAAATATTTAAAAACCAAGCTAAGATTCCAACTCACCCTTCGGCTACCACAAAAGAAATTCCGACATGTATACACTAACATTTTTGGTTCCATCTTCCAATTTATCAAATATTTCATTACTAAACAACTTGCACAACTTAAAACTTACAACTCCTCTGTATTTCTAAACCATTATATCCCAAGGGAAAAATAAAATAACGTTCCAGAAACCAATTAAACTTCCAAAAACAAACTAAAATTTCTGGTTCAACCCTTGTGGCTTCCAAAATTTTCCAGCAACCAAATACTTTTTAGATCAAATTTTCCCTTGGTTTAAACATGGTGTTAGGTACTCAAATTCAGCATGTAAACACTTAGCTAGCTATTAAAAATTTTCACTTCAAAACCAGATTCATTCAGCAACTAAAATCATCCAGAAAAATCCAGAAATCTGTCCAACTAGTCACGGTTGAACATGCATGAAGAAACTTTCTGTTTTCATTTTATTTTCTTGGTTAAAACATGCTTTTAAACTCTCAACTTCCTCATGCAATTACTTAGCTAGAAAATAAACATTTCCATTTCAGAAATCGAGTTCAAATCACAGTTATAATTATCTCCAAAATTCCAGAAATTTTCCAGCTATCCTCGGATGATCAAGCATGCAGCGGATTTCTGTTTCAATTAATTTTTCTGTTTTAACCCAATTAATTAACTACATAAAAAGCTTACTTATCTTGTTATTACCCAGCTAATCACGGTTATAAGCTCAGAACAACAGGATTAAACCAATTAAGGCTGCATTATTCAAGTCAAGCTCTCAGCTATCACAAAAAAAAAATGCCAGCAGCTAATGGTCATAAGATGTAAACTTTTCCCTGGCTGGATCATTATATTAGGCACCCAAAATTGACATGCGAGGCTACCCAATAAAGTTACTTATCATATCTAGTTCAGAGCAAGTTCGGTCAGCAGCTATAAACATCCACAATTCCAGAAATTCCTACGACTATTCTCGGATGATCTTGCATGCAACAGATTTTCTTGTTCATCTTTATTTCTTGCTTAACCGAGCAAATGAGCTGCATTCACAGTTTAATCATCTTGTCTTAAGTTAGGGAAACACATATAAACATTCAGATTGCATCAGGGAAACAGAATTAAAGCTGCATCTCCACTTCAGCTTTTCGGCAAAACCATTTACTTCCAAAACAGATTTTTCTAATGCTTTGATTTCATCATCCGATTGCACAAACAATACATGCATGCCCCTAGATGGCTCAATCTACCTCTTGATCAACCTAAAATGGTCCAGAAATTACCTCACAGTGCAACTCACCCATACGGCAGAGCTGAATTTTTTTCTTCCTCTCGGCACGCGCGCAAGGCCTGAAGTGCTGGTTCTGGTTGCAATAGTTGCGGCTGGGACTGATGAAGGTGGTGACGATCAGCAGCTCCCACGACTTCCACTTGCTCTCTCCTTTCTTCCCTCAAACTCACGGACAGACCAGAGAAGATTCAGCTCGCGATTTTTCTTTCTTTCCTCTCGGCTGCAAGGTGCAGCTCTCTCTCTCTCTCTCGTCGATGATCACGAGGTGAAGCTCTCCCTCTCTCACTCTTGGTCAATGCTCACGGTGTGAGGAAATGGAACTGGTTGTGCGAGGTTGAAGTGAAGAAATAGGCGCGGTTAAGGGGGTTGGGTGTGCAAGAGGGTGGAGTGTGAAGGTGTTTTGTGATATAGGAATGAAGATGGAGTGGGATGGTATCGCGGTTTTGTGATATGAAATGGAAAGTATGGTATAAGGTGCCGCTGTTTTGGATCAGAGATTGCGTGTAGGAATCGATTGCGTATCGATTTAGCAAAAATGTGATTGGCCGGTAGTTGCGGTGATTGAATTTGCTGTCAGAGGGTTTGTTTGGTTTGCATGGAAATGTAAGGGCATTTTAGTCTTTTCACTTTGCTTCCTAACCTCAACTTAATTTCTCAATTCTAACTTAATTCTAAAAAAATTATCCCCAAGCGTGATTTGAACGCCTAATTATACCCTAATATACCTAAACCATTTTTATCGAATAATTATCGATTAAACTTGAATATTAAGGTTCCTAGTAATTCTTATATTATTTAGCGATTAAATTAGTTATTAGTATTTCCAATTATTATTTCTCAAGGAATAGAGTTAGTCTAACTCGAAATTTATCGATTTAATAATATAAAGTCAAGTGGAATAATAATTTAATCCAAGGGTGTCAATTTGCACATAAAAATTATTTTTACGCACTTATTTGAAAACAAAGAAAGATAAGGATATATTTATCGAATTTTCACGCCTTAAGCATGTTTAATATATTAGAATCATATTTATCGAAAATTCATTGGTTTTCATCTTAACGCGAGAGTTCCTATTAACATTTAACATTATTACCTAATTATTTTAAACTATTAAAATCAAGTTTGACCTTAATATGAAAATTTGACGTTCTTGATATTCGTTTATCCATTTATATCAACATTTATTAACTTAATCATTGTTAACGCTTAAGATTAGCTATCGGAATTCAAAGAGGTTTAATTGTTAAATAAATGAAATATTTTACCTTCGAAATATGAATTTAATGAAACAAAACTAGAAATTTAATAGTTTAGCACAATTCTTTTTATTTTGTACATAAAAGTTATTGGTTTTGGTCTTAACGTGAAATTTCTTATTAGTATTTAACGTTATTCACTAATTAGGATTAATTAGTGGAATTCAAGAAATTTTATATAATTAATCTACTCAGGTAGCATTAATTTTTAACATAAAGAAAACTAAGTATTTTAGCATTTTATTTTAAGGCGATAAATTATTCTAACTCCAGATGTATTAATTTAGTCTAGCAAAGTCAAGAAAATTCATATCTTGGGAAAATTATATTATTCTTCACATAAAATTGTTTTTACGGACTTATTTGCAGACAAGGGAAATTAATGCTAAAGTTTATTAAAAAGTTAAAAGAAGTGCAAATGAAATACAAACTGATATTTATATATATATTTTTCAGGGTTCTCACAGAAATCATGACCTTCCAATATCATCAACGTTGCATTTTGCTCCTGATCAGAACCAAATACATTTGGTAAAAAATAATTCAATGAATTGCAACATTCCTGTTAGATCGGTTGGTATGAATATTCTGTCAAACTCTATTGTGAATTAAAATGGTTCTATAACAACTATAACTACCCAACTTACAAATAATCATTCATCTGAAATTTATGAATTAGATTGTTCTCAACTTTTTGGTGTTGCTATTTACTTAGAATTGTCTCCTTAACATAATCAATTTTCTGGTCAAACCTCTGCCAATCACCAATCCAGTATTCTTGAGACTGACAATATTGGTCAGAATCAATTTAATAATGCCTTCTCTAATGTAAGCCACCTCTCAACCGACCAGTCTTCAAAAATAATTTATTGTCCTTTGATATCCAACTCATATCACTCCAGATATATTGATATTACTAGATGCTAGATGGAATCTGATGCTAATAGTCAAACTAATGACTCATACATAATGATATGTGCCTGGTACCTTCTCAAAGTATGTATCATACATAAATTTAGTACATATGTTTAACTTAATAGAACATATCAAACAATATTATTTTGAACTTTTGTAGAAAGATCAATTAAACTTTGGAGTTTTGGACCTCAGTTGTAAGGATTGTGGAGCTATTATGTGGTATGAAGAGACAACTAATAAGACCATTGATACTACAAAACTTAAGTTCTCTCAATGTTGTCAACAAGAAAGATCAAATTGCTGGTACTTTGTGAACCTCCTGCATTCTTGAAAAGACTACTGACTTATAATGGGGATAGTTTATCAAAAAAATTCAGAAAAAAAATTAGAGTTTACAATATGATGTTAGCTTTCACTTCTTTTGGGGAAGTTATTGACAGACAGATAAACAATGGTGGTGGACCATATGTTTTTCACATAAATGATCAAAATCATCATTGTTGCTAAATTCTAACCAGTTAGGATGGTGGATGCAATTGTACATTCATGACGCACAAAATGAAATCAGCAATAGAATTCGCTGTCTATTTTCATTTGAAGAATATAGTGGTCTTGACTCGACAATAGTCGAAGGTTTGATACAAATGTTGGACGAACACAATTCTTTGGTTAAAGTATTTAGAATGGACTGGGGTCATTTTCAAAGTTCATAATGTAGAGATGTCCATATTAGATTGATTAGTAATCAGCAACGAGATAGGAGAAAATATAATTTACTGACAGTATCTAAGGTTGCTGCACTAATTGTTGGATATGGTCAACAAGCAACATGTAATCGGGATGTTATTGTTTAAGAAAGAGGTGGTGGATTGAAAAGAATAACTGAATTGCATCCAAGTTTCGTGGCAATGCAGTATCCCATTATCTTTCTTTATGAAGAAGATGGTTTTAGGATTGATATTCCGCTAAATAACACCCATGAAGACAGGATCACGAAAAAAAAAAAGAAAGAAAATTTGTCAACATGCGTGAATATTATGCTTATAGGATGCGAAATAGAATTGGCAAGACAAGCACTTTAGCTTTTACAGGACGTCTATATCAACAATATGGTGTTGATGCATACACTTCAATTGAAGAATCAAATTTAAATTGGATTAGAAAAAACTTAGAGTAGATTTGTACTACAAGATGTAGTGGTTGGAGGAAACATAACACCATTTTCTATTGGAAGAAGATTTGTCTTGCTATAAACTTTTAAAGGTGGGCTAAGATATATGATCCAAAACTATCAAGATGTAATGGTTATTTGTTGTTGGATAGATCGTCCTAACCTTTTTATCACATTTATTTGCAATCCAAAATTGTCAGAAATTCAAGACTATTTAAACTGGATTTCAGAGCAAAAAAAAAAAAAAGATGACCAACCTGGTATTGTTGATTGTGTTTTTAAAACAAAAGTCGACCAGTTAATGAGAGATTTGTTGGAAGGACAACATTTTGGCCATGTTATGGCAAGTAAATCTAAAATTAAAATATTCTTCATCAACAAATTTTCATTTGCATTCTTCAACTAAACTTGTTTAAACTATTTTTTGTAGTCCAAACACCAGTAGTCCAAAGATTAAGCTTCCATCTACTTTTGTAGATATATATATATATATGAATTAGTTCCAGAAAAGAGGGCTACCACATATACATATATTACTTTTTTTACATGCTAATGTTAAACCGTGTAGTGTATCAGATATCAATAAAATCATTTTAGCTGAACTCCCAGACAAAGATTCGGATCCATTAGCATTTGAATCAGTGGTTCAGGATATGATACATGGGCCATGTGGTGTTGGTCATTTGAATTCTCCATGCATGACTGATAGTAACTGTTCCAAATGCTTCCCAAAGAACTTCCATGTTGAGACAACAATTTCTAAAGATGGTTATCCAGTGTACAGAAGAAGAAACAACAGAAGATCAGTAATGAAAGAGGGGATATTAATTGATAATAGATGGGTTATATCACACAATATTAATCTTGTTGTCAAGTTTCAAGCTCACATTAATGTTGAGTGGTATAATCAAGGTTGGTCTATCAAATACTTATTCAAGTATGCGAATAAGGGAAGAGATAGATCAACTTTCATTGTAGAAGAAAATGTATCCACTGAAAATCAAATTATCATTAAACTTGATGAAATAAAAAAAGTATTTAGATTGTCCAAAGATTAAGCTTCCATCTACCAGATGAGCAAAATGTTGTCTTCGATGATGAAGATGATTTGAATGATGTGATTAACAAGAAAGATGTTAAAAATACAATGTTTACAGAATGGATGGAATCTAACAAGGTTAATGCAATAGATAGAGGTCTTACCTATGCTAGCTTTCTTACGATAGCAAGTAAAAGCAAAGAAATGGTATTTGAGAAAGTGAAACATATCTATAAGAAGGATTTATTATGCCCATCCAACATATGGTGAAAGATTCTACTTGTGTATGCTTCTAAATATTGTTAAAGGTGCAAAAAAAATTTGAGAACACTAGAATCGTTAATGGTGTGATTTATTCCACATTTATGGCTGCATGTCAAGCCGTGGGATTATTTAGTGGTGATGATGAATGGCATCAAGTAATAATTGAAGCATCCACCTGGTAAACTGGTCATCAACTATGAGAGTTTTTTGTGACAATTTTATTATTTTGTGAAGTTGTTGACCCTTTGCAATTGTGGCAATATAATTGGGAATCACCATCAGATGATATCATATATCGCCAACGTCATATATGGGGTGATGATTTAAATTTAACCTCTCAACAATCAGAACTATTCCCTTTTTGAGATTGAGAAACTGATGAATAGGAATAATAGAACATTAAAAGAATTCTTCTCTATTCCTTATCCAGATATTTCTTTGACAAATGATGTTACAAACATATTAATTATAGAAGAATTGAGTTACAATAGAGAAGCTCTTGCTCGTGAACATGCAAATTAATATAGCGGTTTAAATGCGAAGTAACAAAATGTTTATAATGCTGTTATAGATGTAGTAAGGACGGGAATAGGTGGCCTCTTTTTTGTGTATGGTAGCGGTGGAACTGGAAAGACTTACCTATGGAAGACTATAATTGCAACATTACGATCTAAAGGAAAAATTGTTCTGGCTATTGCATCTTCAGGCATCGCTTTCTTTTTATTGCCTGGAGGAAGAACTTTGCATTCGAAATTTAAGATTCCGATAAAACTTGATAGTAATCTGAGTTATAATATTAAACAAGGATCACAAT